GGCCGGCCACGAGGGCTTACCGCATTTGATGTAACAACGGTTCTGAACAAAGAATGGAATGACTACAAAGACTACAGGACCATGCAAACGAAACGACTAGCTCCAGAGATCCCCGAAGGGAGGGAGGGGGCGCGCTCACTCGACGAAAGTGTGGACGTTGAGTGCGATCCCTCTCTGTACCTCTACTAGGTCGAACTCCTCCGTACCCGAGGATTACTGGTATTTTTTTTTGTTGCCCGTGGTTTTAGTCGTGCGTTTTTGCTTCCACACCCCCGTCTACTACCACCTTCTGTCTGCCGCCGCTGCCCTCTTGCCTCAACCCCCCTTGCCAACGAAACACGGCACCCCTTTCATGCCATGCCACCCCTCTCATGCTCGATCGCCTGAAGATCCCCCATGTCTTTGCACCGCTCGCCCCCCTGGTGTTGATTTCTTTGTGCAGAACGAAAGAGGCCATCCCTTCCAGGCGGACTTTTGCCTCATCGACCGTCTCCAGCACCTCAAGATCAAGCAGATCGCGTGCGGCGGCGAGCACTCGGTGGCCGTCGCGGAGAACGGAGAGGTGAGAAAAGGAGGTGATGCGTGTTACGTTTGTGTTTGAAAGAGAGGAGGTGTGTATTATTTTGTGTGTGTGTGAGAGAGGGAATGAGAGAGAGAGAGTGACCGGGGGGTATGGTCAAAGAATGGAGAGGTTGGAGAGAAGATGTGTGTTGGGTATGTGTGTGAGAGAGAAGAACGAATGAGTGGGGGGTACTGTCAAAGTCAGAGAGGAGAACAGGTGATACTTCGTTGTTTGTTTGAGAGAAGAAATGAGCGAGAGAGCGGGGTATTGTCAACATACGGTAGGATAGTTAAAAGGCTTGACCTTTTTGTGTTTCGGGAGAGAATCGGGGAGCCGAGAGTGTTCAGGGAAGGAGACTCCGCGGTCTGTTTTTGCCGCGGCCTGCCTCGTTTAGAAAGACACCGTTGGCTGGGGATCGGGGGCGTTTTCGCCTTTTAATCGTGAGAGGGAGAGAGGGGAGAAGGCGGGGACGAGGTAGAGGGCTAGTCTTATTTGTTGCTGTGTGCGTGGTAGCTTGACTGTGGTTGCGGATCCCACCCCTTCCGGGAGTCGGGAAGTCCTCGAAGCAGGCGGGATGGCATTGTCGCGAGAGCGAAGGTGTACGGATCGATTTAGTCCGCCTGCTTGTGGTCGGCGGCGTAGCCGCGGGTGAGCTTGGTAGGAAGCAGTTCGGGCTGGGGAATGGGCCGCGACGGGGTGGATTTTTGCTCTATTTTTTCGCAGGTATGGTGCTGCGCAATTTTGTCGAGCCGTGGGCTGAGTACAACTTGGATGCTGCCTGTTGTTGTTGTTGTTGTTGTTGTTGTTGTTTTTGTTGTCTTGGCATTAAAATATCGTTGCGTGCTCTTGTCGGCACCTTCTAATATCCGTACTCGTCCAGTCTCGGGCGCCTTGCGTGGTCACAGGCCAACGCTCTGCGTTCCCCACACGAAACAAATAGAGCACTTATTAGCTGTGTGAGCGTTGCCACATGCTTGACGTTGGTGTCTCTTGCCCTATTTCTCCCCTCCCCTCCCCCTTCCGTCAACAGGTGTGGTCGTTCGGGGCCGGTCAAAAAGGCCAGCTGGGACACGAGTCCACCACTAGGGAGGACTTCCCCCGTCTCGTGCAGGCTCTCAAGAGGACCAGGTATGTGTGCGGATGCGTCGGTGGGCGCGTTGCTTTTGCGAGAAGTCAGGGAGCGGGAGGTGACCCCCCCTCCCCATGAAGGGTGATGACCAAACGATTATGCATCGGGTGGAGAACGTTGTAGTCGCTCAGCTCAAAGGGGATAGCTGTGGATGACATGGGGTGTGGTTTGGGAAATATTCGACACTGGTGATGAGGAGGCTCTTTGCAATTCAGCAGCTCGATTCTGTGTCTAGAAGTGACGGGCTGCCCCAAAGGAGAGTCGTTCCAGGCTGTCGTGCGCGTATCTGAGAAGAAATGCATGTAGGCAGCAGGATGCCGAAAGGCCTTCGGCAGGATGCAAGGTTGCGCTTCGCCCGACTCTAGCACCGACCGAGCACCTCACGGCGCTCCGTGCTTGGTGCTGTGCAAGCCTGGCTGTCTCGGTGGAAAAAAAAATCCAATAATCCTGCGTGTTCCGTCCCGTCTGCTTTGGAGGGAGTGGAAACCCAATGGTCAAACACACGACATTATTGATGTTTAGGTGACCCCTTCCCCGTACCACTCCTCTCACACCTGTCTTCCCCACCCTTTGCCCCCATCGAGAGCATGCTATTAACAAGGGGGATGTGTTGAGGTCTTTTTACACTTGGGAGTTGTGTGCCAGAAATCGTGTGTTTGATCGATCGCGCGCATGCGAAGGGCACTCGCTCTTTCCTCGACCCACAACGAGTCACGTCTCTGCCCCCCCCTCCCCCCTCGACGCCTGTTTTCCTGTGATCGTCCAACCCTCGTTTTTCGCACCAAGGCGGGAGATCATGCACGTCGCGTGCGGCAACAACTGCACGCTGGTACTTGCTGGAGGAGTGGCCTTCCCCACGCTGTTCGAGATGACCGCCGCGGTGGTCAGAGGAAACCCCAGGCTCTGGGAGGATGTCGGTGCGTGCGTGCCTTGGTTTAAGTCATGTCGTCGTAGATGTGGTAGAAAGCTTTCCCCCCTCCCTCCCTCCATCAATCATCTTGGTCCTGAAGGCATGCCTTTTTGGTTTGATTTGTCGACGAAGGGTATGCATTCATGGCAGCAGCGGTGGTGAAGAAGGCAGCAGAGATGCTTGCTTTTCCGTTCGTTCGGAATCAGTTGCCTGTCCATTCCGCGTTTTCGGTGGTTGTGCGGAACCCTTCTGGTGGAGATGGTGGAGATGGTGGAGATGGTGGAGATGGTGGAGATGGCACGAGTAGAATACTGTCGGCTGGGTCCCATTCCTCCGAGACAACCCAGCTATACTCGTATCGGGTGTTGCGTCTATAATAGGAAGGACTCGTTTGTTCACATTCCCTTCTCCCCCCACCCCTATGCATACACGCCGCTCATCTTTCGTCGGCTTTTCTTTCCTCTCTCGCCGACAGGGTCGTTGGGCCTACTCCCGCCGAGCGTGATGGACAGCCTCAACAGAGTCGTTTCGGACTGAAATAGAAATCCAGGGACAACGAACCCCACCTTACAAATCCGGATGAGACGCCCCACGTCGCCCAAGGGCAACGAACCATAACGTTAGTTTTTTTTTTTCTTTGTGCGGACGCTGGTTTCGTCAGAGTTATGAAAATCGTCCGTCTTGGTCATGGGG